TTTAAGATTAATGAAATTATCCTATCAAAATATTCACATCCAGTGTGTGGGGGAAGATGCCAGTGGCAGCCTGAGTGAAACAACCCACTGGAGGAGTCTTCCCCACACAAGTGAGCGTTTAACAGCCCAAGATCACACACACCTGATGCCCACAGTGCTTCTCCACCATAAAGGCAATAAAAATGCCCCTGCTCACATTTCCAAGGGAGACGGGCAGTGCTGCTTTTGGGCTTATATTTCACTTTTTCTCTAATTAAAAGTTTTTATTGTTAAGCATAATAGGAAATATGCATAAAACTTAACTGTGCAGATGATCGTAACATGAACATACATGACCATGCTGATTTAAGAAAGAGAATCCTGACTCATTTAGCCCCCTTCCAATCATTACCTCTCTTTTCTCTCTAAAGGTCTGACATCCACCACTGTACTTTTTGTCTGGATTTGAACGCCATGTGATACAAACATATGTTGTTGTCAAGTGCTGTTGAGCTGGTTCCGACTCATAGTGACCTTGTGTAGGGTTTCCAAGGAGTGGCTGGTGAGTTTTAACGGTTGTTTGAATTGACCTCGCAACTGGCCCAGTGCTTCTCCTGCAGCGCCACATCACGACTCCATAGTATGTATGAGGGGGCTTCAAAAAGCCCGTGGAAAAAGTCCATTATTTATGCATTCCATTTTTCCATGTACTTTTTTTTTTTTTTTACACATTCATACTATACCTCAATCCCTTTATCACAGAGCCCTGTTGTTCCAAGGTTGAGCCTACATCTTCTCTCATAGCCTCCTCTTATTCTTTTGTATTGGCCTCTTTAGCTCATTATTATGCTTATGAGATCCATCTATTTTTGTTGTTATAATTTATTTTAATTGCTATAAAGCATTGCATGATTATATTACTATTTATTCATTCTACTATTGATGAGATATTTCAGGTTGGGCAAGTTTTTTCTGTTAGGACTCTTTGAATAATGAATCTTTGTCCTACGACTGGGGTAGTCTTATTTTCTGATTGACAAAATAAATAGTTGTTTGCTGAGATGTGCATGACAAAAATACATTAAATACTGTAAGAAAGACATGGAGAAAAATTATGCAAAGGGAAACAGATTTATCACAATAAAGACCAAGTAAAATGGAGCATAATAAAATGGAAATAATACATGTTCATTTTTTTATATTGAATTTAATATGTCTACTACACAGCATTCAAGGGATTAAAAAAAATCCCAACACATTAACTCAATGTTAAATAGTAACAATTACTTACTGTATAAGAGAAGCTCTTTCAAAGTATTGAATGGCTTTTTCACAAAACTGGGTATCAATGTAGTAGGCTCCAAGCCATTCGATTACTTCAATGTTAGAAGGGAAATACCGATATGACTGGAAAAAATATAGAAATGGATCATTTCAGGGGCAATGCATAACTTATCTAATAAGAAATTTCTTATTAAAAATGTATGAGCTGACAACAATACCTTATGAGTCTTAAAACTGTTCAAAACTTTAAAACTGAAAGTCTGTGATATATTTTCTAGCGGTAAATATCTTTTTCATATACTGATCCATGAGTTACATGAAATATTTAACAGAACCAATAAGGGATGCAAATCATGCTTCGGAAGTAAACAGCGTTTGTACTTTTTATTTTTTAATCAAAAGTGAACTGCTTTACATTATTTTAAATAAGTTCTTATTCATTTAAAAAGGAGTAAAGCAATTTTAACTTCTAAAAATTAAAAGGCTGACTTCTACAACAAAAGAGACCAACATTCCAATTAAAAAAGGGGCAAAGTCTCAGAAACCCAAAAAGATACACAAATAGCTAATAGGACGTGACATGAAACGATGCTCAACCTCATTAGTTACTAGGGAAATGCAAATCTAAACCACGATGTGATACCACTTCATACCAGCTAGGTTCGCTATTATCAGAAAAATGGAAGACAACCAAGTGTTGGCAGAGATGCTGGGAACTTGGATCTTTTTGTATTTCTGGTAGGAATGTAAAATGGGCTAACAGCTAGGAAAACTAGTTTGGTGACTCCTGAATAAGTTAAGCAGAATTATCTTATGACCCAGCAATTGCACTTCTAGGGATATGCAACGAACCTGGAAAGCAGGGATTCAAATGGATGCATGCATACAATATTAACCACTATACTACCTCAGAAACCCTATACAGGGCCGCTATGGGTCGGAACTGACTCAACAGCACTTCACAACACAACAACAACATACAATATTAATCACAATAGCTAGAATGTGGAAACAACCGAAGTGGTCATCAGCAGATCAATGGATAAACAAAATGTGGTATGTCCATACAATAGAATACTATTCATCCATACAGAGAAATGAAATTTTGATATATGCTATGACATGAATGGAGACCTGGTGTGGCACTGTGGGCTAATGCATCAGACTGCAAAGTCGTTTGAACTGCAAGGTTGGTGGTTCAAGCTCACCAGCTGGTCCTTGGAAACCCTATACTGGGTTGCTATGGGTCGGAATCGACTCAACGGCACTTAACAACATGATATGAGTGAACCTTGAAAACATTATGCTGAGTGAAATAAATCAGTCACAAAAGAATAAATAGTGTATAATCCCACTGATTAAATGTATAGGTTAGGCAAATGCATGGAGATAAAAGTGTATTAGTGTCCTCAGGAGCTGAGGGGAGGAGAGGACTGGAATTATTGCTGAAGGGGTACTGGGTTTCTGTTTGGGGAAAGACAAACGTTTGGAAATGAATTGTGATGGTGAATGCGACTGATGTCAGCAAAATACACCTCTAAAAAGGATTAAAATAGCAAATTGTGTGTTATACCATAATAAATTTAAAAGGCCATCTGCCTTCTTTATAACAATTCATACAACACTAGAAAGTGGAAGAAAAGTAAGATTACAGACTTACCTCATAGTAATATTGGAAAGCTTGGGATTTATCTCCTTCACTATCATACAATTCTCCGAGTTTAGAGAGAGCTCTAGAATCAGTTGGAACAACACTGATTAGTTGCATTAGCCATTCAATAGCTTGATTTGGATCCTCCATTAACTCATATCTTGGGCATGGGCGTTAAGGACAACATGACTTTTTCTGAATGCATTAATCAACAAGCAAGCCCCACAAAAGCATTACAAGAAAGACAGTTCTTAGCCTACAGTAATATGCCACTTAATACTATTAACTCTGGATTTTTTCAAAAGACATAGAAAATGGAATGGTACTACAGAGAGTATTTTTATTCACTCTATGCACCTTGTTTTCTTTTAGCTTCAATACCCACTAAGATTATCTCTCAAATTCCTAGTAGAATTAAGTTTGTCACTTTTTTTTAAAGCACTATCCCAAGGAGCTCTGGCAGTGTAGTGGTTATAAGTCAGGCTGCTAATCTCAAGGTCAGCAGTTCAAAACTACCAGCCTTTCCGCGGTAGAAAGATGAGGCTTTCTGCTCCCATAGAGATTTACAGCCTCGGAAACCTGATGCAGGCTCACTGTGAGTTGGAACCCACTCCACAGCACATAACCACCACCCCAATTTACCCTTGATGAAAATTCCTGAATGACTTCAATGTTTACTCCTCTCACCATTTCAGGCCATTAAGGGAATAGTTATCATGCATTTTTCCTGTAAATTTTTCCTCATTAGATTATAAGCCCAAGGATGTTATTATTTTAAATGCTATCAAGTCACTTCTGACTCATAGCAACCCTGTATAGAGTTTCCAAGAGGCAGCTGGTGAGTTTGAACTGTCAACCTTGACCTTGCCATTCAAACTGACTTTGCAGTCCAGTGCTTATTATCCTACAGCGCCACATCAGCACAAGACTTGAGAGTTCTTTTTTTGAAGTGTCCTTGAGTGCCTAGCAGGTCTTCTAATGATGATGATATTGCTGCTGGGTGCCATGGAGCCAGTTCCGACTCATAGCAGCCCTGTACAGGCTTTCTGAGGCTGCCAGTCTTTACGGGAACAGAAAGTCTCATCTTTCTCCCGTGGAATGGCTGGCAGTTTTTAACTGATGACCTTGAGGTTAGCAGCTTGACTCATAACTACTACGCTACCAGAGCTCTGTAAGTCTTCTACATACACCCAGAAATTTATTCCCACAAAATTGTGGAGGCTCCATATGGTAAGCAATGGACTGCGAGCTACAAGGTCAGTGGTTCAAGCTCATCAACTGCTCCAGGGGAGAAAGATGAAGCATTCTGTTCTGACAAAGATGAAAAGTCTTGGAACAGGGTCGCTATGAGTCGGAACCAACTTGACAGCATTTAACAGTAACAAATGTTTGTTGACTACCCAAACCACTACCATTGAGCTGACTGTGACTCACAGTGACCCTACACGGGGTTTCTAACACTGTCAATTTTGACAGGAGCAGACTGCCACCTCTTTTTCCTGTGGAATGGCTGGTGGGTTTGAACCAATGACCTTGAAGTTAGCAGCCCAATACCTAGCCCACAGCACCACCAGGGCTCCTTAAAATATTGTTGTTATTGTGAAGTGCCGTCGAGTCAGTTCCAACCCATAGCGACCCTGTATTGGGTTTCTGAGGAGTGTCTGGCGAGTTTGAACCACCGACCTTGCGGTTCAAAATGACCTGGCAGTCCAGCGCATTAGCCCACAGCGCCACACCAGGACTCCTAAAACACAATTGTTGTTGTTGCTAAGTGCCATCAAGTCAGTTCCGACCCATAGCGACCTTGTATAGGGTTTCCAAGGAGCATCTGGTGAGCTTGGACAGCCAATCTTGCAGTTCAAACTGACTTTGAAATCCAGCACATTAACCCACAGCACCACACCAGGCCTCCTACAACACAACACATGGCACTGAAAGTCATGGAAAACAGCATGCCATACTTTCTCTACACACTGCTAATGCTGTTAGGGGTTGGCAAGTTGCTTCGGACTCTCTATGGGAACCAACTCAACTGAGTTTAACAACAACATAGGGTTTCCATTAAAATAAGGAAATTAAAATGTTTTTCAAATAGTGTAAAAAGCATTATAAACAACAAGTTTCTGCTTTCTATTAAGGGCTGGAAGAAGCCCTAGTGGCATACTGGATTATGCATGAAGCTGCGGGCTGCACGGTCAGCTGTTCAAATCCACCAGCTACTCTACAGCAGAAAGATGAGGCCTTCTGCTCCTGTAAAGATTTACAGTCTTGGAAAATCTATGAGGTGGAAGTGAATCTAGGGCACACTATCACCATCACCAACAAGGACATGAAGTAAAAAAAAAACCACCAAACAACAACCAACAAATACTACAGAAGGCAAAGCGTTGGAGAAGAAATTGACATGAGAGAAGTGTTTTATATTTCTACATTCTCCAGAGTTCTAAATGAAATAGTGGTACCTACAGACATACCACTAAATAACCAAAAATTAATAAGCAGTTTTAACCTGTTAATAATTCCTCTCATGATACAAGTTATCTTTTAAAGTAGAATCACTCAAATAACATTTTTATCACATATAAACCTGGGAGTTAGGTTTTAAAACATGATCTTCATCAATTAATTCATCACTCATGCTTAACTTAAAATTGCTAAGTTGATCACCCAGTGAATTACTAACTGCCTGTAAATTTCACAAATAAGATACACATTTGCTATCTGGTAAAGAACTTGGGCGCTGTTTCGTAGGATTGCATGGAGCTTCAGGAAACAATCCAAAGCCTCATCTAGCCGGTTTAGCTTCTTGTAAGTAAGGCCTTCAAGAGAAAAAAAAGAGAAAAGTTATAAGCATTACTGTTGGTACTAATTTACTCTAAGAAACAGGAGAAACTTATAAATATATGTAAATATACACTCAGAAGAGAGAATGAAAAAGAACTGAGAAATTTTGTTTACAAAGAACAATGGAGGTGGGAGTCAAGGTTTCCTTGACAAAACCTGCTAAAAACATCAGGAATTCTAGAAGTGTGATGGTGGGGCGGGGTGGGGGCGGGAATAGACAAACTGATCATCAGTAAAATAAGTAGTTCAGAAATGGATACAGTTACGGAATTTAGTTAATGAGCATGTAAAATCAGTGGGGAAGGAACTTGTTGTTGTTAAATACTGTGGAGTTGGTTCTGACTCATAGGGACCCTGCACAGAGTTTCCGAGGCTTTAAATCTTTACGGGAGCAGAAAGCCTCATCTTTCTCCCGCGGAACTGCCGACCTTGAGGTTAGCAGCCCAATTCATAAGCACTACGCTACCAGAGCTACCTGGGGAAGAGACTATAATGTTATTATTATGCAGATAACGCATGCATTATACTTTGTCTTTCCTAGCAAACCATGCCCACCCCATGTGTTAAGCTTCCTATGTGCACCATCTGTGTTATTATGTGTGTGCACTATTTACATGGGCGCAGTGTATGCAAAAACGTACAGTAGCCAATAAACAGTGCCAGGACAACTGAGGACTGTATTTTTTGCAAATAGCCCACCCACGTAAATAACATGCACACATATCTAATGGGGGGAATGACACATTGTGGAAAAAAAAAAAGATGTGGCACATGGTGCCTACGCCAATACCAGGCAAGGTTTGTCACATTTCAGGATTATTCATCCTCCTTTAGCCATCTCAAAATGTTACTTTGGATCCTATTTCTATAATACAGGTACAAGCCAAGGCTAAGAAGTCAGGGATCAAGTTTGGTAGCACTCTGGTGATTAGAAAATAAATGACTGAAGCCGTGTGTTTGCTCTGGGACAGCTGAGAGCACAGCTGAGAGCGCCTTGCTTACGCCCAGGTACGGCAGGCTGGAGATGAGCTGAGGGTCAGGCTGTCACAGATTGAGCACAGCTGGTCCCTCACACACCCAGGACTTGTGGTGTCAGCCCCATGTGAAGTCGAGCAGCAGGAAGATGCCGGGGAGGACTCGCACTGTCCCGGCCCTGTAGAGCCCCAGGGGGCCAATCGGACTGCCTTGTCGCTGAGCGAGGGACACACAATCCCTCTGCACCCAAGTCTCTCACTGATGGTAAGCAGATGGGAGATTCAAATGGCCTAAGTGTGACGGCTGAGCAGCCAGGGCAGAACATGCACCGTTGTAGGGTGCCAACTGGCCTCTCTGGCCGGGGCCACTGCCTTGGCAAGAACTGTTTCCAGGGAGGACAAGGTGATTTCTTCCTGCAGTTTGCCCAGCAAGGTAGGAATCCCGCTGAGAGAAGGGCTGCTTTAGAAATTCAAGGACAGCTGACTTAGGATCTGCTGCTGGGAACCAATGGGCCATATCAACAGGCACCAAGACGAAGACCTGACACTAAGTCCACTGGATAGAAAACAAAACTCAGTGCAAATCAGCAGCATGTGAACCAGATATTGGTATAGTGAGTGCATGTATGAAAGTAACACACAGCGTTGCTCAGTATGCAAAACTTATAATGTGTGCGTGACTTGTGGCAATATGGTATACAAGATAAAAAATCTTAGTTTCCTATTTCATAATACTAAGTTCAAATTCAAAGTTGGAGGCTTCTCACTCCCTGATCTCAAAATCGACTACACGACCACAGTGGTCAAAATAGCCTGGTATGGGTACACCGATCGATGCCTACATCAATGGAACAGAACAGAGAAGCCAGAAGTAAATCCATCCACACACATACAATCAGCTGCTCTCAGACTAGGGGGCAAGACACCTTAAACAGGGAAGACACTGAAGTCCCTAAGTTTGTCCACATTTTTTTCATTGATGATCCTAACAGTTCTAGGTTTTTACATTGAGTTTGTTTTAGTATGTGGTGTGAGATATGGGTCTTGGTTCATTTTTCTACAAATGGACTTTCAGTTTTGCCAGCACCACTTGTTGACGAGAGTATGTCTTCCCATTTAGTGTGTTTTGACCCTTTGCCAAAGATGGGCTGACTGTATGTGGATGGATTTACTTCTGAGTTGTCAATTCTGTTCCACTGATCTATGTATCAGGAGCCTTTTCCTAATTCAATCTGTCTAAAGTGGCTAATTCCTCTGTGCTTCCTCTGCTCCCAACTCTCTCCTAGGCTCAAGCATTGGCATCCTTCCAGAAGGAGATATGAAGAGTGCTCCCTGGGAAGAAAGAGAAAATGGATTTAAGAGCAGTTTCTCAACTAAGTAGACCAGATGGCGTATTCTCCAGTGAGTCGCTGGTCCATGAATTTCCCTCCTGTGTTCAGAAAGTACAATTGGCTCTTCAGCTACAAACTCTTAAATATAACGAGACAACCAAAGATCATAAGACGTCTGAGGGAATGCCGTAACAGGAAAGAGAGAGAGCAAAACAAACAATCCCCTCACCCCCCACCCCCAAAAGCAAAAAAGGCTATGCAGGTAGAAGAAAACTTGAAAAGGAATTTCTTTAATAACTCA